GACGTCAGACCTGTGATTGGATCTCACTGTACAGTTGTACCTGATAATGGCCTTTCAGTGTATATTAAGACTGCATGATAAACATAGGCTTACAAAGTTAACTAAAGCAAACTAGAAAATACATTTCCTGCTGAAAATGCGTGTGAATGCTGTAAACTGTGTACATTTGTTGCTGAATTTAGCTGAAAATGCAGAAAAAGCTGAATATTTTATTAGTTGAATGGTCTCTGTAGCTGCTTTTAGCTACAGAAACCAAGTAAGTGTGTTGCTGAACTTAGCGGAGAAATGCAGAAAAGTGAAATGATTTGAATCAAAATTGTTACAGTTCAAATGCATTGCAATGACTTTGTTGAAAACTTGAAAGTGAAATGTTAAACTGGAAGAGTAGGAAAAATAGTGAAGAAGCTTAATATTTAAAAGAAAATGTTTTAAAAGGGATAAACAACTAAATGTATAGTCTCAATGTCCTGAAATAGCTGAATAATTTAATAGTTGAATGGTTTCTGTAGCTGAAAATAAGCTGAAGGAGTTAGATATTAAATAAAAGTAGTAGTGAATGAATGTGTATTAAGAAGAGAAAAGAAAGTAAAAACTCTTTGAAAAGCATCAGAATATTTTACCTGCAAACCTTTGAACTAACTTGATGGTGAGTGATCTGTCACCATGGCAACGGCATTTGATGAAACCCCATAATACGCTTAGATGTGTTGATGGCTGCATCGTTACCAAACCTGTGAAGTTTTGGGCCGTTTGGAGCATTTTCACTGAAGTTATGAGAAAACCGTGTTTCATGGTGAGCATTGTGTTGTTGAAGAAATCTCAAAACTGTCACGTAGATGTCTTCACGGCTGGACTGTTTGCACACATGTGAAGTTTGAGCACTTTTTGACAATTTTCATAGGAGTTATAGCAATATCGTGTTTTATGGCGAGGGATGCGTTGCCATGGTAACACCACATTATGTAACATCAGATTTGACGTAGAGCTGTTCAGGGCCACAGTGTTAACCATCATGTGATGTTTGGTGGCGTTCTGAGCATGTCAGTTGGAGTTATGACATCATCGTGTTCCATGACACAGGTGTTCATGTTTGAGCTAACGACGTTATGAAATACCTGTGCTTGAGCCCAGAGATCAGAGGTTTCCATGGTGATGTGCAGTAATCAGTGAGAGGAGAGCCTTTCCATTGTTCTGAATGAGAGATAAACCTCTTACATGTGAACGTTTTGTTGAAGAACCGCAGCAGATATCGGTAAAATGTCAACGCGTGAAGCGTCTCAGGACCCTGAAGAGCGTCTGAGTCTGCTTTTTGTGTACTTTCGGGTCAATAATGTGGCCTTTTTGGCAGATTAACTAAAGGTGTGCGGCTGCTGCTGTGAGGAAAGATCAGGCTGTATTTACAATAGGCCTTAATGGAGACATGTTGAACGTTTTTATCACTTCATGCCCTCAAGAGGCATTTTGTTTAATTATTTTGCGTAATTCTTTATTATTTTCCAATCTAGGAGAGGTTTTCCTACGTTTTTCATGAACAATTATGTCTCAGGAGTGTAGGGTTTGGGAATTATGGCAAGTTAAAAAAAATATATGTATGTATTAGGGGTGTAACGGTTCACAAACATTTCGGTTCGGTACGTACCTCGGTTTTTAGGTCACGGTTCGGTACGTTTTCGGTACAGCAGAAAAAATTATCACAAAACATAAAATAATTTTTGGGGGTTTTTAATTATTATTAAACTGTGAATATTCACTCAAATAAATACAAAATATAATAAAATAAACATTAAGGTGCAGCATTAACGTAACCAATTTTAGTTGAACAATGCCGACAAACAGCTTTGGTTCGGTCCACCTGTCTTTGTCCGTCATCCTTGTACGTAACTGCGAAACCAAAATGTTCCCAAACCGGAGACTTCAATGATGCTGGAGGATTTTCGAGCTCAACTTTATCTGCGTTCGGCATTTCGACAGTTCCTCAAATTACTGACTAAATTTGAACGCATCCCTGTGACCAGCTCTCATAGTATGCCTCTCGTCCAATGAAATGACTTGGTCGCTCTATGACGCGTTGAACCCAATGTGAGCAAATTACACTGAACGCTGCGACGCAGCACCTGAGATTACTTCCAAAAAGTTGTTCACGTTCTCAATTTTTTACGTTTAACGTTATATTCGTTCGGTACACTTCGGTACACACGTGTACCGAACCGAAGGGCCCATACCGAATAATTTCAGTACGAATACGTATACCGTTACACCCCTAGTATGTATATATGTTAAAATCTGAAGAAGGCCTCTTTACCAAGCTCCAAACTAAGTTAAATATCTCAAAAAGTGTAAAAGATATGAAAAAATCTGAATACAAGTTTTATATTTGAATGTCTTGTGATCATTTTAAAGTTGGAATGAAGTCTCTAGCTGAAAGTATGTGGAAGGAGTAGCATTTGGCGCACGTTGTAGTTAAAAGAGGATTTGAAGGTTCCTCCCATTGAGTTACATGTTAAAAAAAGAGTTTAAAAAGCTGAATATTTCAAAAAGTGCAACATATTTGGAAAAAGTTGAAAGTTTCCCATCATGTGCTGAAAAGGCTGAACATTTTGATATTTGAATGGTTTCTGTAGCTGAAAGTAGGCTGAAGTTATTCAACGGCAAGTTGAATTGCACAGCATTCACACTAATAAGAAGAAGTAGATTAAAGATTTGAAGAACTATAGTGGAATGCTGTAAACAGCATTCGCACTAATGATTGTTTGCTTTCTATTGTCTAACAGAGCACAATGATGATGAGGCGCCCATAAATCTCATTTACCAAACTGAAAAGGAGGCGAGTGTTTGGGGAACGTAGCAGGCAAGGTTAGCACGGCTCATCGCAGATTGATCTGTGCATACAGCTTAACGGCATTAAAGCTCATAATCCCTGTAAATATCTCCAGGCAAGGCAAAGTCAGCCTTTTAACATTGACTAAATGAAGTAAATAGAGGCAAATAAATTCATAAAAATTACATTTCTGTTGAACCCGCGTTCGTTATATATAGACGCGGGTTGTGTGAGTTGGCTGCTAATGAGGCTTACACAATTCCAACCAAGATATTTTGATGGTTTTGCCACCCTGCCGTTTGGGGGTAACAGTGAAGTCGGTTTTAAATGGAGAGCGTCTGTTCTCCCCTCCAACCTCTTACACCACAACAGATGGGGAGAATATGGAGCTTGGAAGGTTTTACCTCTGAGGTGGTAACAGTGAAGCCACTCATTAACACTGAATTTACCACTTCGTTAGCAACACAGCTTCCTGTAGAGAGAGCCACCCTGGATGTCAAATCCACAGAGCATACGTTTAGAAATAAATCAGCTCTGGACTGCAGGGTGTAATCTGTTATAAGATGTAGCATACACATGTTTAATTTAATCCTTAATATGATCCTATTTAATAACCAATGTAATAGTTCATAGTATAATTAGGGAAGAAACAGGGTTGGGGAGTTACAGTTTACATGTAATGAGTTTATGTAATCAGGATATCAAAAAAGGTAACTGTATTTGATTACAATAACATAAAAATAAGTAATCAGATTACTGTTACATAAAAAATAGATATTACTAGCATGATTAAAGTATTACAGTACTTTTTGAAATAAAGGTTGATATATATTACAGGTAGACGTGCTGAATGAATTTTCTTTATGGCTTGTATTTGGGCTACTTTAATTCTTCTTTATTTTAAATACATTTATATCTTAATGCAGTGGATGAACACCTGATTTATTAAACAAAAAATGCAGCTTGCTTTTGATTCATGTATTAAGCTTAAACAGCATTTTTTAAACTATTACTGTTACTACATGTTTGACATGAAATATCTTGGTTTCTTCTTTTCTAAGGTTATATTGTTACACACACTTAACGTAAAAATCATCTTATTGTTATTTATAATCAAAAGTAACAGGAAGTAATCAGGTTACATAACATTTATACTTTGATACATAGGTTAGGTTACTGATTACATGTAACTAGTTATTGTAACAGATTACATATTTAAAGTAACCCTCCCAACCCTGATTGCGAAGGCATATGTCTTCTTTGTGCGGGTCTTTGTTTGTGTTTTAAACAGATTGTGTGCCTGCCAATTTGTCAGGATTCAAGTAACAACAGTCTCATGCTGGGCTCCGTGTTGGCACCATCACAGAGTGATAAGACGCAATATGATCTCATCGGAGGTGTACTTTGTTCCCATGGAAATTGGTCAATTTTAGCAGACGACTGAGAACTTGAGGTGGAGACGCAGGAAGGTTGCGTCCCAGAGGAACCCTCACATAATTAAGCATCCTCGCCAGGGTATTCAGGGCTAACAGCGGGGTTTGTTGTGAATAGAAGTGGCGAAAGAGGGTGTTGGAAAATCATAATGCAGCACGGAATAAAACCACTCTCATTTTATGGAGGAAAATACTTTTTTAACTGAGCCAAATGATCAGCATGCATGAGAAAAGTGAACTACTTTATGTGTTGTGCAACAGTGTTTAGTTTTGTAATTTGTATGTGCTTTGTTTTTTCTTCAAACTATCTTCGGATGGTTGAATACCAAAATAAAATGAATATTATGCTGGTAGAACTTTAGTGCTGCTGCCGTGTGTATTGATGTGCATGCTGGGTACAGATTTGTTATGTATTTAACTTTTTATGTATATGTATTATTATTATTATTCAGTAGGTTTATGTTGTTCTGTCTAAGTATTCTATTTCATCTTAATTTTATTTTCACTATTATTATCAAGTGGGTTTTATTCCCATTGTATTTTCCTTTAACCTGGCATTCTATCCCTGTTTTTATGTATTTTTTATGTCCATTGTTCCCTTGTTGTAAAACACTTTGTGTTGCATGCAAGGAGCTCTACCAATGAAGAATAATATTATTTTTTATCATAAGACGTTGTTTGCGTTACTGAGCTTGCTTGTAATGATTAGAAATAAAGAGTTCATTTAATAATTTTCTTTTATATTTCAGAAAGTATTGCCACTATGTCAGATCTGAAGCCAAATGCACAAGAGGACAAAGACGTGGAGTCGGTGTGTGACAGCCCAGGTCGTACTCAGGAGCCATTACAGTGTCACACATTGTCCCTGAAGAACAATGCTGCAGGTCTGTCCTCAGATGAACACGAAAACCCTTTAAATGGAACCCAGCCGAATCCATTTGTATACAGCAGTGTCCCTGCTGTTCCCCATGCAGGCAATTCATTGCCTTCAGGAGCACTTGTTAATGGACCTGGTTCACACCCCACCTCAGAGGTACACTGTGTCCTGAACAAAGGCACTATTTTATCCAACAATGTCCTGGATGCCGCGTGGCAAGCGGAGAAGGACACGAGCCCCGAGGTGTTACCACCACCTAGTGAGCTTCAATCAGACGCTTGGAAGAACACAGCGGGGCCCGTCGAAAAAACCCCGGCCACACAGCCAGGTGTCAACACGCCATCGTCTCACTCGGAGGAGAATGAGTCCAAACTGGCCTGTTCCACGCTGTCAGGTGCAGACAGCGGCGAGGAAATGCACATTAGCCAACCTTTGACAAAACAGACAATGAAAACAAGATCTCGACGGGACGTAGAATGGTCAGAAAGCTCCTCGGATGATTATGACGACGCTAAAGTAATCAGATGGGATTCAGAGAGAGAGTGCTTCTCACACAATGACAGAAGGCTGGAGACCAAAGTGATGCACCAGAGGGACAGCAAGCACAATACACATGTAAAAAGCATGTCAGGCTCTCTGGAAAAGGTTAACAACAGCTTAAATCACACATACAGACGCTTCTGTTTCACCAGTGTCAATGATTTGGGAAATGTTGACACTGCCAACAAAGACGATTCTTCGTGTACTCAATCTGATATTAGATATTCCAGCGTGCCACTCAAAGGCAGTTCTCCAAGCACAGCTTCAGACTCCAAACGCCATATTTATAGCACAGCGCAGGAAGGCTGTAATGAGGGAAATTACCCTGAAGATGAAGACAATTTCAGTTCAAAAGTGGAACAGCTGAAGAAAGAACAAGTGGAACAAGAGACACTTTTCTTTTCATGCACGCTATGCAATGTTAATTTCAAGGAAAAAATACATTTCCATAGACATATGATGTATCATTTAGGCAAGCATAATCAGGTGAAGAGTGAGGGTGTCTCTCAGCCCTTTATATGCAGGGAATGTGGGCGTTTGTTCTGTGATAGCAACTCCCTCATGAGGCACATCATTATTCACCAAGACAGACTGGAAAAACGTATGAAGGAAATCAAAGGTCTCAAAAACACTGAATCCGCAGACCGGGGCACCAAAGTGCAGTGCCCTCGGTGTGTGTTCGGCTGTAATTGCCCTAAAATCTCTGTCCAGCATGCCAGAACGCATGATAATCTGAAGCACTACTACTTCTGTGAGGAGTGTAACTACATTACTCTGACACAGCAGGCACTTGAAGCACACATACATGTCGCACACCTCGACACACACCAGCCTAAGTACAGGAAAATGACTCATAATGATGATGCACAGGAAGTGGACCATGTTCAGCGTAGAATGAGTTTTTTCACAAGCAGAAACAAAGTAATAATTGAAAGATGTTCCGAGCTGAAGCATCTGCGTTCAAACTATGGCGATTATAAAAAGGTTGCAAACAAGCCCAAAATCGCCATGTCTAAACCAAATCTCTTGACTCTCGGAGAAACGGCCCATTTTCCCAACCGCTCCAGTACAACAGAGGGCATTTACATTCAAAAGTCCAGCGACAAAACTGTAAATCCTCCTCAGTTTCAGTGCTGCTCTAAAAACATGCTTTCGCCGTCTTTGTGGAGGGTCGATAGGCATGGAAAACTACTCCAACAGCAAAATGTAGATGTGGCAACTGATCTCACCTATGTGAAAAAAGACTCTGAAAACAATGACTGCGAGGCTTTTGGCAGCTCAAAGCAGGCAAACCGTCCTGCGACCGCTGATTTTTTACCATCAGCCAGAAATCTTAAATTAGACCAGATGTTCTGTCAGGATGGCGAGAACCACCCCAAAAACGTGAGTTTACAACCGCGAGCAAACCAAAATTCTCTGTCAATAAGAAAAATGTCAACACCCTTGCATAGCACTATTGACAACATGAACGGTAATATATCGACAAAGCTTTGCCAGAGGCTCAGGAAACGGTGTGCAGCAGATGAGGAGTTAGAGAAAGGCTGTGAGGGCAGGGAGAACTCCAGTGATGACAGCAGTGCAGCTACAGGCAGCTTCTTAGAAAGCCAGAATGTGAGGAACCCGTATGCTCGGAGGTATTTCACAAAGAGGCAGAGGTTCTCAGACAAAGACCAAAGCCTGCATGTGTACAAGAATGAAGAGGATGGAGATGACGACTGTAGTGACATAGAGCAGCTGGTAATCAAAGAGGAGTACATTGAAAGCACAGTGTGTGATGATTCCCCAGAGTCGCCTTGCATGTCTGTAAGTGACAGCGTTGATGTTTTGCCCTCACCGGGGGTGGAACACAAGCCCTGTCCGTACTGCCCCGCCATGTTCGAGTCCGGGGTGGGCCTGTCCAATCACGTGCGAGGGCACCTGCACCGAGTCGGCTTGAGCTATAACGCTCGACACATGGTTTCACCAGAGCAGGTGGCACTGCACGACCATCAGCCACGGATACGCAGAAGGATCCCCTGTGCCATGAGGAAAATTAGAAAAGGTAACACAACACATTTTTTTAAGTGAAATGTCTAGACATCCTTTGTTTAGTTTGCCATGAGATTTGGTACAGAACATTCACTTCCGTCCTGAATTGTAACTAATATGTTAAGCTAATATGGTGAAGCAATGTCATTGTGGGCATATCTGAATGCATACTTGCAGCATTAAGCTTAAAGCAGCCTCGCAGATGCTACCTTAAAATCTTTGTTGTTATTTACAACCCTAAACCTCAAAATGCCGCTTTTGGCATGTAAAGATATTATAAAAGGTTGAAAATTCAAGACTTGAAATTCACAAATTTGAAAAAACGTCTCCTTTGCCGAGATAATCCATCCACCTGACAGGTGTGGCATATCCAGATTCTGATTAGACCTCATGATTATTGCACAGGTGTGCCTGGTCACAATAATTGATCAGGTTGTTGATTGTGGTCTGTGGAATGTTGGTCCACTCCTCTTCAATGGCTGTGCCAAGTTGCTGGATATTGGCAGGAACTTGAAAAGTTGCTGGATATTGGCAGGAACTTCAATGGGTGACATGTCAGTTAAATATGCAGGCCATGCGAGAACTGGGATGTTTTCCTTGCAACACGGGGCTGTGCATTATCAGAATGCTGCGGCCAGGATTTTAACAAACCCCAAAAAAGGGATCACATTTCCCTGTGCTGGCATCACTGCACTGGTTACAGGTCTTTCAGAATTTATTTTAAAGCACTTTTAAAGATTTACGAGGCTTTACATAACCTGTCCCCGACATACTGTTCATCAATGACTGCCTTTCATGGTATAACCCTACAAGTCACTCAGATCCTCCAATGTCTTTATTTTAGAAGTACAGAAAGTATTAAACAAGAAAAATGTTGTGTTCATAGAAAAAGACTTAGATCTTTGATTTCAGCCCATGAAAAATGGGAGCAAAAACTAAAGTGTTGCGTTTATATTTCTGTACAATGTATATATCCGGATCTTAATCTGCTGAATGTTCCACTTTGTTCACCAGTTAGTTTCTAACAGTTTATGTACCGTTTCGTGCTGAGCAGGTCAATCACGACTAGTTTATAAAAAAGCTTTCTTACTGTACAGCTAAACAGCTAACAATGAGCTAAAATTGACTATAAAGCTCCATAAAAGTCTTATAAAGATGCAATGAGCAACCGCTTTTACACTGTCACATTGCTTTCACATTGTCATAGGATTTTGTTATGATAAACAGAAATATTAGAGCCACTTCGAATTTACTTTTGGGTATGTGAGACTCTAGTGGGCATGTGCATTAATAAGTGATCTATTATCAACATATCATGTTGTGTTGCTATTTTCTGACAAATGTCATCTGATCTTGCAGCTGTAAAGCCAGAAACCAAAGGAGAGCACACATGTCCGCTGTGCTGCGGGTGGTTTGATACTAAGACCGGCCTCTCCAACCATGTGAGGGGACACCTGAAACAAATTGGTAGGAGTGCAACCAGCACCAGCAAGTCTCCACTGTCCATCTTAAATGAACTGCTGCAGGACAAAAGGGAACATCAGAACATCCTCCAGAACCAGCCCCCCCCACCACCCTTTGTCTCTCAGAAGTTAATCAGCAGCAATAGTCTGGTCCTGATGCACATGGGCATCCCACTGAAGACCCAGCATGAAACGAGGAGCCCCGCTCTCATGCTGGACAGCTTCGTACCAAAACAGGACGCAGAGGCTGAAGCACAACTAGACACCAAGGCCTCTTCCAGCACTTTAGTTGGTCTTCTCAAGATGAGACAGGAACGTATGCAGCTCACAGCGAGACACAACCAGGAAGCTTATGGAACCAGGGAGCTCTATGATCTGACCAAAGATTACATGGAGGAGACCCAGATCACCAGTGTGGAACCAAAATGGGTTCACGGTAAAGATACATCTTCAACTTTGGTGGTTTTATATTATAAGCCCAGCACTATTGTACATAAAGTAACTTAAAGAGGCCCTATTATGCTTTTTTGGGTTTCCCCTTTCCAGTAGTGTGTAAATGGTCTGCAAAGGTTAAAATCCCAACTGTCATAGGAACGAACAGGGTCCTGCCTCCACGCTGTATCCAGTTCTGTATCCAGGTGCCTAAAACGCCTCCATTGTTTACTTCCGTAACATAATGACATCTATATGTAACACTCACACTGCTATTGGCTAGCGCTCCAAAACATTGTACGTGATTGGCTTTGGGGCGGGATATCTCGAAGAGGTTCACCAATCACCACAGAGCTGGCCAGCTAACCAATCAGAGCAGACTGGGCTCTGGTTTCAGACAGAGGGTGAACAGAGGTGCTGCAGCACAGGCAGTATGAGAAAAATAAAGAGCTTTTTGAACATTAAACATGGAGACATGTCACAGTAGAGACACACTTGAGAAAAAGAGGGCCCCTTTAGCTTAATTGGAAAGCATCCTAGGTACATTTCAAGTCTCTGCAAGTGTATTTTTAAAAGGTGAAGGAAGTTAAGAAGTAAATGAATCCTAAAATTGTATACAAATGTCAGCATTTATGTACCCGTTTTGTTGATTTTTGGCCAAATCTCTTTCAAGATATATGAAGCATTTCAGGAACCCCCGCTTTTTCTTGGAAGTACACTGCTGCTCAGCTGGATCATTCATATGAGATTTCTACACATCAAACATTTTTAGCTGTGTTCGATTGCTGGGGGGTCTGCTATTAATTGTGTATATACACTAGCTTTCAGTTCTCTGATGTTCATCAATATTTTATTACACATTTTCAATATCTCATTACACATAAACTGCAGGTGGGGGTCAGTTAAACAATAGTCCACAATCATTTGATATGTGGAGAAAAAAAAAACACTGAATGTCGCCAAAGTGCTTTTGAAGTTGATATTAAAAAATCATGAGGTCCTCTTGATGTGGAGTTGGAAACCCATCATCCGTGTTTTCACAACAGTGTTTAATGTCTGTCCAAATCCAACTTTTATTCAGGTTCTGAGAGAAATAAGATAAAAGATACAGATTTACAATGAAAGGACTCTTTGAGTTCTATTTTAAACTAAATTGTATGGTTATTGCTGTTATTATGGTGTTACCGTGACATCTGTAATGTACTCGCAAAGATGGCTTTATTTCTCCTGTACTGAAACTGATTAAATACTTAAGGTAAAACATATAATTACGGTGTTAATGTTAATATAATATGATTATATTTTCATTGGCAAGTTAGATTGATATTAACCTCATTTTTGCTCAATATTTATGGACATTTTTCTAATGGTAGGAAATTGTTCTAAGCATTGTTTAAGCTAAAAAAGGTTTTTAACTTTTTAATTTTGTTAGATCTTTTGGGATAACTTCTTCACAAATGTTCACATTAACAGGAAATGGTTCACAGCACATTCTGCCAGATTTCTGTCATAGGACTAACACATCTGTGATTTTTTTCACGTTTTTTATGAATTCTCTGTGACACTCGTGAGGTGGTGTATGTGAACATAGCCCCCCCGAAGACACCAGATTGTGTTATACTTTAACAGGAACACTTTTCAAATAGGAGAGTGCAAATCAGCTGCTTAGAATGAAAGCAGGTGGAAGAAGACTTTAGCGCACACTGGGAATAACTGTTTGCTTGATAATAAAATTACTGCATGAACTCAAACACTATCCCATAATGCTTTTCTCCTTAATAATGCAGTGTCTATCTTTGGCTGATCTAGAGCAAATAGATAGTATAATCACATAATTTGAGTTTCCTCATTTGCCTTTCTCTCTTTGAGTTTAATATTTCTTTCTCACTGTTCTATCTTTCAGATGAATGTGATTCGGATGACATTTCTATTCGGTTTAATAACACTTTACCCAGGCTTTCTGGTCATCTTCGAGGCTACGCACACAGGAAGAGGTTTGCCCTTTTTCAAGATGCAGGTACATTTTTGACGATATGCAAAATGACAACAAATGTGTCTCTACATGAAATATCTGTTTTGAGCACATGAATCAAGTGGTTCATATTTGTGAGTAATGCTTCAGACATTAGATAAATCAGCCCATCTCAAATGCATGTTAACTAGAATAGTAAATATCAGTATTAAATGCAATAGTTGGATTTGGGATTATTTATTTATGCCTTTTGTCAGTGATCACTTAATACATGCCCTCAGATTAAGCAGTCCACTGTTTTGTCTTGTTAGGCGATGATTATAAACCGAAGAAGCCAAGGCCCGGGCTAAAGAAGAAGATTTTACTCTCCTTAAATGCTGAGATATGCACGCTCACCTGCAGGTACAGAGATTTGAAGGTTAACCATGGTTCTTTAAGCGAAGAGTGAGTGAGAGTGCTTTCTACCTCTATTTCATATGTAGGCCTTCAATTAAATAGATAACCCAGCACACCAAAAATAGTGACCAGTTGTCATTCCTATCCTTTTCAGTTACATCCAAAACCAGTGGTGACCTGGAATCTAGGGGCAAACAAAATCTGATACCCTTAAAAAATTGAAAAGACCCAGGGGCCGAAATTAGCTTCCACACTCTAACGCTTACCGGACCAGGTATGGACAGATGTATCGCATTGATCCTGCTATTTGGTTTTGTTTCTCTGTTTTTTAAGCAGGCCTTATTATATGTTGTACTTTGGATTCCTAAAGCTTTTAGTCTACTAACCCATCATCCAAGGGTAGTTTTCACTATAAGTAAAAAAGAATTTTTGGACGGACACTATCATTTACCGTTTTTTACTATGTAAAATCTGAATTTTCTTTAAAATAAAAAACATCTATATTGATTCTGACTTTTCTACATCCAACTCACAGGTTTATCATTACTTTGAGAATAAAGATGATTAATTTAACCCTTTTAGAAGGGAAGATATGGTCATTTGTTCTGGGAATGTCATTTTCGAGCCTGAGACCTGAAAAACAGGCTCAGGGCTTAACAGGTTAACGTCAGCAGAGCATCGAGTACGCCTGTTCGTTGTTGTATTCCCATGAGCATACTTGCTGTTCTGAGTGCGTTCACACTAACAGATATGGCAAAATACAGTGCATTATGAGTTGAACTCATGATGGTCAAAAGGTTGAGTAGCCTCATTTGTTACCAACTAGACTACGTAGCGGAAGGGTCACAAATGTTGCGATTGCCTTTTCGGATAAGTGCACACAATCTGAGTTTGGTTGAAGAAAACGCTACCCTGTCAAAATTCACGCAGACCAAAGTAAGTAGATTGTGTACACAGTGTACTACATGGAAGTCCTTGCTTGTCTGATCTTCCACCTGACCAGTGACCCAGAGGCATGCTGGGAACAGTGATGGACCTAACCCTAACCCTAACTCTCAGAGAAGTACAATCCCATCCCTCTACATTCACATAGTGAACATGGAAGCATTGGCTCTTTTTGTTCACAGGCCCAATATGTTTGACAGAAGCCTGAAGACTAACCAACTCTTTAGAAGAGAATCTTCTCTAGAGTTCTCTAATGCACTTCAAAGGCGCTCCTCTTCCGGAAACATACATTTCTGACAGCGGGAAGACTTTTTAACTTGTTATAATGGAAAATGTTGCTGACCCCCCCCCCCCCCCCCCTGGCCAATCCATGAACATATGGAATATGTAACTGCTGGATAGATCGCTTTATAGTCTGAATAGAAATAAAGTAATATGAGCAAGTATGGCTTACTTCTCACACTGGGAGAAGATGATTGCACAATAGCTGACGGGTCTCCCCTCCCTCTGCAGGTTCTGTGACCTGGTCTTCCAGGGCCCCCTGTCTATCCAGGAGGATTGGATTAGGCATTTACAGAGGCACCTCCTGCACACCAGGGTGCCTCAGTCAGGGACCGGGATGGTGGAGGTTTTGGGTCTTCACAAAGTACAGATTTCCCATGAGCACCAAGATCCAACGTAGAGTTCTACCCATCTGGAACCTCCAGTTGCCTGAATTTGCACATTGTTTGTATGTAATAATCCCTAAATTGTTTTAGATTAGTCCTAGAAATATATAGTGAACTAGACTTGATATATTACTTAAAATTATATATTAATATAACTGTTTAAATTAGCACAAATGTATGTATAGGATATTTTACTGTTGTGCTTTGCCTTATACTTAGCTAGGAAAGCTTATAAGATTGATCTATATTGACTGCCAGAGATGGAGTACTGGACTCGGACTCGAGTCGGACTCGAGTGCCGATTTTCGGGACTCGTGACTCGACTCGGACTCGCCCACTGATTGACGCGACTCGGACTTGGACTCGTGAATTCTCGCGCACGATGACTTGGACTCGGACTCGGACTCGTGAATTCTCGCATACGATGACTTGGACTCGGACTCGTGAATTTTTCCCCCCACGATGACTCTGACTCGACTTGTACATTGGCGCTCCGACTTGGACTCGGACTCGAGCAAGTTTTCTCTGGAGTCTGATGTCCTCTATCCTGGCGTGTGCACCTGCGAGGCGAGTTCACGTACTGGGCCCCGCTATTCCAGTCTAAAGATGTCTAGAGACACACCCCGCATCGTGCTGTATGCTTTCACACATTCTGCTTCCACATTGGAAAAGAGCAGCGCAAAATGCTCGTTATGTGGAAAAAATATTGAAGAGAAGGCTCCGTAACGCATTACTCTAAGGATCGAGTTCAGACTTGAACACTATCATCAGAGTAACGTGATCTACTGTAATCAATAAATAAAGATTCAGCCGATAACACGAAAGTACATGGCTACTTAACATGGTCATTTTGCTTGCTAAGTAGCCATGTGCTTTCTGGGGCTAAATCTTTATCAGTAAACCGATTTAACCGGTAAAGGTTCCTTCAAAATAAAAGTCCCGATCTTATTACTATCAAAATAAAAGTGCAAAATGAAAACTTTACCATAGGAAAATATTGGCATACAAATATAATCACTTCTCTAAAAGGTAACTAATTTTAAATATAGTTAGACATATTATAGGTCATTTACAATAATAATAATATTAATATTAGTAATAAGCTTTATATTTGTATAGTGTAGTCCCGAGAGATAGGAGTCGGAGGCGGTGCATCGAAGGTGCAAATGGGAACTTTAATGAGCAGCAGAGACGGACATGTTGTCGGGTCGCAGCCCGGGAAGAGAAGAGAAAGCGAAAGGGAGGGCACGCAGTAAGTACCAACAACATATGTGTCCGTGCGGAAACAATACCCCCAACCTGTAGTTCCATGAGTGAATTATGTAACCTAGTTAATTAGTGATCACTACACAAGCCCCCCAGAATTCAACCATGGACACAATCCTCGCGTCCGGGAGGAAGCACCACAGGGGCCGAGGAGGGCGGGGCCGGGCCATGGAACGGGCCGTCGGAAGGGAGCCGCAGGAGAGGGTAGGGGCCCTAACGAGGGTGAGGGCATCCCCACCAGGTGGTGGGGGGCGGGCCGGAACGGGCCGTCGTCAGGGGGCCACAGAAAGCAGGGTCGCTGTGTTGCGACGTAGGGACGGTCGTGAATATCCCGGTGCACCCCAGCAGGGAAGAGCGCTGCCCGGCCGCAGGCGAAGGCACAGCGGCGGAGGGTACGAAGTCCACGGGAGGAAGGAGCCGTGTCCCCGGGAGGAAGGAGCCGTGGACAGGGGAGAGGCCAGACGGGGCGCCGTCCGAAGCCGCCGTCGAGGCGAACCGTGAGCCGCGGTTAGAGGAGAGGCCAGGCAGGGTCCAGAAGCGCGCCACCCACGGGCCGATGAAGGCATGGGCGACGTCCGAAACCGCCGAGGCGAGGGAAGAAGCCAGACAGGGTCCCGAAGCGCGCCACCCACGGGCCGATGAAGGCATGGGCGACGTCCGAAATCGTAGAGTCGAGGCGAGACGGGGTCCAGAAGCGCAACACCCACGGGCCGAAGAAGGCATGGGCGACGTCCGAAAGCCGCCGTCGAGGTGGTGAAAAAGCGAGAGGGTCCACACGAGGCCGACCAGACATGGTCGAACCTCCTCTCAGGCACCAGAAAAAACTCAAAAGGGTCGTCCTGTCCATGATCAAAAGCAGGTGGGCGAAATTGTGAGAGGATCCACACGAGGCCGACCAGACTTGATCGAACCTCCTCTCCGGCACCACAAAAAAAAAGAAAAAAAAAAAGGGGCTAACAATGGATGTCATTAGCCGCTAGCTGCTAGCCATTAGCTGTCGTGGCTAGCCGTTCTCGACGGCCGTTAGTCACTGTCGTCGTCGGCCCCGGAGCCTCTGCTAGGCGGCGTGCCCCCACCAGGGAAGGTGCTGCAGCGTGTAGTGGCCAGCACATCAGGGGTAAATCGCCGGGCGGCCAGGAAGAACCGGCTAGCTTCTTCGGCTAAAGCTTGGGGCTCAACACTAGCCGCGTGAGCTAGCGCAGCCTGGACATGCAGCCGCATGTCCCGAAGAAACAGCTCCATGAGGTAGAAGTCGGGTTCCTCCATACCCAGCAGGTCGCGGGAATGGCGAGCGACGTCCTCAGCCATTCCGTGGAGCGCACCGAGCCTCAGTCCGTGTGCACGTGGCAGCCATGGACGTCTCCAAAAATCTCCGGCATTTCGAGAAAAACAGTGTTTGTTTTTTGCCGTGTTCGGTTCAGTCTCGGATCCTTCGCGAGACTTATGTCGGGGTCACCAATGTAGTGCCGAGAGATAGGAGTCGGAGGCGGTGCATCGAAGGTGCAAATGGGAACTTTAATGAGCAGCAGAGACGGACATGTTGTCGGGTCGCAGCCCGGAAAGAGAAAGGGAGGGCACGCAGTAACGGGCCGTCTCCACGGCAGCGTTAAAAAAATCTTGGAGGTGGGCGTATCTGAAGCTTGAGGATTTTTTGCGAGCAACCAATCACATGAATCTCCCGCCCGCGACATACGAAGCAAAAAAGCCCGAAGTAAACTGGATATAAACTCCCCAAACAGGTGAAAACATACCACTGTCTCTGCCACCTCCCTCCATGCCTGGCTCCTCCGGTTTATATCCCGGTAGGTCTGGTCATAAAGCACCGGGTGATTGATTCGCTACCGCTAATTTCTCCTACATTTTTTGGAATATGAGGAAATGACCTGCGGTATGTCTCTCCCAGCATACACGCCGTTTGATTGGCTAGAGCTTGAACTGTCAGATTTGCGTACACGGGATTTGATTGGCTGACGCTTCCACCTCAGCCTCAAAAGTTGAACATTGTTCAACTTTGGATCTTGAAAATCCTGAGAATCTCCGCTCGCCTGCCCACAATGCATTTCGGCGAAAGCGAAAAAAAGTGACGTCACCCCATTCAAAGTGAATGGGCAGAAGCGTTTCAAGATTTTTTAACGCTGCCGTGGAGACGGCCCGTAAGTACCAACAACATATGTGTCCGTGCGGAAACAATACCCCCAACCTGTAGTTCCATGAGTGAATTATGTAACCTAGTTAATTAGTGATCACTACAATAGCACTATTACAAGAATTGTAGCCAAACTGGCTTCACAGCAGTTCAATAGACAGATTAGTATAACATGATAGGATAAAAGCAATGTAGAGGAGCAGCTACATTTCAACACATATATCCACGAAGATTAATACATGAAGACTTGTGACTCAGACTTGACTTGGACTCTACTTAGGTGACTCGGACTTGGACTCGGACTCGAAAACAGGTAATGATGACTCGGACTCGACTCGGACACTCCTTGGGTGACTCGGACTTGGACTCGGACTCGAACACAGGCAATGATGACTCGGACTCGACTCGGACACTCCTTGGGTGACTCGGACTTGGACTCGGACTCGAACACAGGCAATGATGACTCGGACTCGACTCGGACACTCCTTGGGTGACTCGGACTTGGACTCGGACTCGAAGAGTGGTGACTCGAGAGTGACTTGGACTTGTGAATTGGTGACTTGACTACAACACTGTTGACTGCTAGATAAGTTAGACAAAACAATGGGCAGCAGACATCTCTTCAATGGAAACTGGTCTGCAGAGCTGCAATCTTTAGAACATGTGTTTCTCATAAAGAAAAGTGCCTTGTCATAAGCATTTTATGAGAAATCATATTCATTATGAAATGAAGAAAATATTAACATTTCTGAATGTATTGTAACTTTTTATTCAAGATTCAATTCAAGATTCATAGGTCTTATTGTCATGGCAATGAACATCTGAAGTCCCAAGCTCCTCTAACAGTCCAACATACAATATGTTTTAAGACAATTTAGGTCAGAAAAGGTACATTTCTCATTACAAGACAGAAACTTTACTCAATATTGTTTTCCTTAGAAACGTTTTATCACAACAACAAAATGTAATAGAAGCGTTGCCAGTCCTATATTGGCAAGATGTAAAAAGCCTGCACTTTTTAATTAAGTTCATGTCTCATTTAGTTTTAGAGAGGAGATAAAATAAGGTGTTGTTAAGCAGTGTACACAGGGCTGTCATTAGTCTGTTCTCTGTCGGAGTTCACCTCGGTGTCTGCATCACACGCAGCATCTCTCTTAATCAAAGTGACATTCAAGATGTTCGGACAGCTTGTTCTGCTTAACCTTCAACCAGCAACATAACATCTGAAAACAGCCTCTCAATATAGCCACGATAACATCTTTTGATATAGAGAAAACTCTGTTTATAACAAGGAAACGTCCCCGTTATTAACAGCATAGTGTTCAACATCCAGATCTGCGTTCCTGAAGATTTGGACCTAAATTAGTTGCTTTTTTTCTGCTATGACTAAGAATGTATTGAAATATTCTATAAAACCACTGGCCACTTTTTTTGCATTTCGATAACCTGCCCTCCATATGTTTCTTCCTAAATGTGGTGCTTGTTTTGTAGGATGCAGAGACTCTTCCATACGTTCAGACAGGGAAATGGCTATGCAAGGTAAAAAGATGACAAATCATTTGAAATGTGTAGAATTTTTAGGGTTTGTCACTGGAAGATAGCACTTTGTCTTTTGCCAGGACATGTTGTCATACACTTTGTCCTTCTCTCACCCTCTTTTCGGCACCTACAGGGTGAGTCGACGCCAAAAGACTCAACTCACATGTCGCCATTATCATAAATACTTCGTACTCGTAGAATATTACAATTTTAGGATTTCAATTTTCATATTAGAAAACATCATTAAAAAATATATAAATGTCTGTGTTATTCAATCATGTTTCTCCAATGATATGCAAATTATTATAGTAAAAAGCCAACATGCAAGAAGAAAAATACTAAATCAAATAAATATTTAGCTTTAATAACCTAATGTAATGACATGTATTTATCTATTTTTCTTGGAATATCCAGCTTTCTAAAATTGTAGACATGCAGTGCTTCCTTACATACACGTTATTAAGATATTACAATTTCTATACAATAATCTACTCAGGCTTGATAGTTTAGTATTGCTTAGATCCTGATACAATTACTGCAGATGTTATCTTTTAGATAAAGTGAATTGTTCTTAAATAGTTAGATAGACGAAAGCATTTATTTGTAATTATTTGATAAGTTACATCAACAGTTGGATGTAGATTCGGAAATTACAGCATGGCCCATCCAGAAAACAGTTTTAAGAAGATATGCTGTACTGGTTTGAGGGTAGATCTACAGTGTATTATGTCTTCTAGTTAAATTGAAGAGATTATTTACAGTTTCTGTGGAGAGGTTTAACTAAAGGTTCGCCTTGTGTGGTTCGCTAGCAAACAGCCTGACAAAAGAATACTCAATTTGAAGAAATGGTGGCCAAATGTGTTGGGCATTCAATGTCAGGTGAAAATAGTGTTCCAGAGAATAAGCTGTATTTTTTGGAATATCAATGTTGAGAGCCAACGAGAAACAAAGAAAGACAAAACACTGAAGTCACGATGTTATATGCTGCTATATCTGTGTTAAATTAATAACATGTCAATAAATGATATGTCAACTCTTATTTATTAACTTGTGGTTTTATTTGAAAGTAAAGATAATAATAATAAAATAATAAATTTAATTTATATAGCGCTTCTCATCTGCCAAGACAAATCTCGAAGCGCTTCACAGCAAAGGACACTGATACAATTTGAGAGATTAAACAAATAATAATAATACAAATTAAAAATTAAAACAAAATTAAATAAAAAGATACAGCTGTATGTGGTGTGTTCAATTGGAGCATGGTGACAATTTTCTTCCAAGTGTAAAAGTGTTATTGTTTAAGGCTTCTGTGGTCAGAAATGTAGAATATGTTGACCTATTTGATTTATTGTGTTTAATTAGTTTGAACTACATTTTGAATACGTTTGTAGATAAGAATAACAGTGATTAAGGGTATAAATAGTGGATTGTCCTATGGGGAGGGGCTTAACATATATAAACCTCTGGCCACAAGTGTTTTGGAGTTAGTCTGATGTGGCTGTAGAGCAGAGAGGTACCAGTTATATTTCTTCGACCTGTACATATACTGTATATTGAGGTTTGTTTTCTTTCTATTTTGGACTGTAGATCCTTGTTACTTTGTGTTCTTTCAGCATTTTGGCTGTTAATAAAAGCACTTAAGGATACATTGTTTGTGACTCTAGCCATCTTATTTAATTCCTAGTTTTTTCATTGACCCTTTTTGTAACATATATATACTGTTTATAGCGGATCTTTATCTATTTATTTATATCATGGCATTTATTGTCACAAAACCCAATGTCTTGCGGGATAAAAAAAAGATTCTGATTCTGCTGGAAGTAAGAGATTCAAACAGTGAGGTTAGGAATAATACAGCAACATAATGAAGCACATGTTGAAACAAAGCATTTCAAAGCAACACGAGTAAAGAGGTGTTAATCTGCTGCAGCTCTGTAACATCTGGATGTATTTGAGGCTGAGGAGCAAGTCCATTAAAACACAAACTGTACATAATGACAATCAGAACTCTATAGGGTATTTCTATGAGAGAATGATGGTACCTTAGTTGCATTCCAAGATTTTCAAAGCCTGTTTGTAAGTAACATCCGTAATTTATTGGCCTGGACCGGGATCAGGCAGCAACCATGGGACAGATGTGAAAATATCATTGTACTTTGAAACAGCAAGTTAGCATGCTAGTGCTAATAGGGAGAACAAAGAACAGCAAGCCAAAGCCAGATGTCAAGATCATTCTTATTCTAATTCACACATCTTTTTTGCACGACTTCTAAGGGGAACAAAATGTGCTGCACAGGAAGTGATATTTTAAGATTTGGGCAGCAACAGTCGCCATGTTTGTGTTTGCTTTAAAGAACCTTTAACGTCTTAATCACCATAAAGCAGGGGAACAATAATACTAATGGCACTAATTTAGTAAATTGATATCCTTTGGTTGTAACATAATCACATTCTTTGCTAAATAAAAACAATATGAATTTCTGGAGCATTTTATCAATGACAATATAAGTTGTCTAGTGTTTATCATGTTATATACTCTGTGCTTTATCTACTTCCCTGTCTACAGTTCTATTAATATACAATGTTTCTACTCTCCCTATAGAGCACACACTACTTTTAGCATCCTCTGGAGTTGACCCTTTCATGATGAACTATTCCCCTGCCTACTACACATTTTATTTGTTGCAATTCTTCAGGGTGAAACATGCAGATTCCTGTATGATGTTGTGCCATTATTCCCAACAGGAAGTACTTTTAGGGCTATGTGCTATTTTAAACTCCACTTTTTAGCGTTACAGGCGCAGTATTTGATGTATCCAATGCTTGATAGCCACTCCTGGGTTTTCTACTTACCAGTGGCAAAGGGGGCTAACCCTGCAGTTTATCTTGGGCAGTATTTAAAGCAGCGATCAAAGCTGTACAAACCAATTGTCATCATGCCTCTCCGGAGGGAATTTTGAAGTACATTAATGCTCCTTCTTTGGGAAATAATTGTGGCACTCTGTGACTTCATTAGGTCTCCTAGCTGTTTCAAAAGATGTTCTCTCTGGAGGTTGAAAGCCACATCGCTGGCAGACAGCATCCCAAGGGGCCGAATGAATAAAAAAGGAGAGATTATAATGAGATTGAGTTAGCCATGACCAGAATTGGGCTTTTCATTATTCCAATGGCTGAAGAGAGAGGGGACAAGGCCGACATAAAGAAATGTGTTGTTGCAGGACCCTCACTCGCCATCTGCCATGGGGGTCCAATGGTAGGCAGCCAAAGCATGCTTATCACTGCTATGGGTATCAAAGGGGGGGCTCCTCCCTGGAGATTGCTCCATTAAAATGGCAAACGCCAACCCTGTATGCACACCACAGAAAACCTGCATGTTATTCACACATGTAGCACTTGCTATTGATCTAGCTGATTAAAAAAGGAACATTGGAACACCTGAATTACTTTGTGATTTTGGAATTTTTGTTTATTAGCTAATAAAGTGATTTTTTTTATTTGAATAGTCAAAGGTATTTTTCTTTGTATTTTGTATTTTTCTCTTACTTTTCTCCGATGTTAGTATTAGATGGCTTTTAGCACGGCCCTGATTTGGAGAAACAAAATGGAGTACTATATTATTTAGTTACTCTGGTTAGTTTGTATTTACCAAAGTGTCACAATCACACAAACTAACCAACTGATCAAGGCAGTGGTAGACCAGAAACTCTACTGTTTTGCGACTTTAAATGACTATTTTTGTCAATGGAGTCATAGTGGTTTTGTAAAGATCATGGATTAAGGGTTCAGCTGTCATAAAGGACATTTTGACACCAAGGTAAACCTGTGAAAATATTCTAAATATAGCTTACTGATATCGAGTTTAGCTATTCCCCCTGTCCACACAGCAGAACACTGCTTAGCTCCCATGCTAATGCTTCTGACCGCTATCTACTGTACACTGAAAAAACTGAAACGTTGACTTTATTTAAATGTTTAGTTGAAAGCAATAATATTTAGTTTAAATAAAAAATATAGTGTTCAACTTAATATTATTGCTTTCAACCTAATTCAGTTAGGCCTATGTGAAATCTGTTGACATAATACATTTAATTAAAGTCAACTTTTCAGATGTTTCAGTGTAATAAAGTGAATACGGATAATACCTCATAGAACCCAACTTCAAACCATCAGAACTTAACATGTAATCGCTGTGTCCTGAGAAAGTGAGCATTAACTGCAGGACTTTTTTGTCAGTGCTGTGTTTTTGGCAGCAGCGGTCCAGAGATCAGGGCCATTGATCATGACCTGTCCTTCTGCCAGCTATTCCAAAAGTGCCACAGACTGCCTGTGTGAGAAAAGGGGGAAAAAAGGAGAAAAATCAATAGCTTTCCATTATGTGGTTGGGCAGTGTCACTGGCCTGTCAATGATCCTGTTACAGCGGCGGAGCGGGGGTGACACGGGCCCACACTGCTGCTGCTGACAAGAGGAAAACATGCTGACAGGCACCGGGAACAAGTTGGAACACAGATTTGCACTTCAAGCAGCCGTCCGAGGAGCACCGTGCGAGGCCACCAGGCGGCACGGGGCGGGCGGGGTGGAGGGGTTGAGATGGGGATTGGGGGGGGGGGGGGGGGATTCCCAGCCAGGCAACCTCCTTCTCCTGTCTGACTGTCTAGCTCTCTACCAAAAACGCTTTTATCCTCCCATAAATTATTCACCTCTGGATACACCAAAGGAAACTCGGCTGCACTGATTGTGGCTGAGGGGAAATTCATAAAAGAAACCTGAGGCCCAGTCTGCAGCCGGGACTCGGACACTCCTCATCTGTAAGCACCTACAGTATGAAATATTTTATATAGGAGATATAGGAGCATCTGCTCTGCATTATGCATACACTCTGACATCACTGATCATCTTTTAGAAATGATCATTGAGGGAGGTTTGGGTCGCACCTTCTATGACTTAACATAATGTGTTAACTGTTTATGTATAATAATAGATCCATGCACTCATAAATATTCATAATTCTATAAACTATCATAACACATTTGTATAGGTTTTTTCAATGACATATGGTCAAGTGTCACAACATTTCCAAAAAGCTCACTGACATTTCTTTCCATAGTGTAATATTATTCCACCATTATGACCTTTATATAATGCATTATAATCACTTTCATAATGCATTTTCATGAAACTAAGTTACTACAAGTCCTTATTGTTTGCTTTTAGTATAGAGGAAAAAGTGAGCAGCAATATTTTGTGATATGATACTTGACATTATAGGTCATACAATGTGTTGTAATGTTTTATTACTGCTGATATAAAGCATTATACATATTAAGTGCTTATACAATAGTTATACAGTCTTATAAGCCAATTATAATTCAATATAGACATTTACTTCATAGAAAGTGTTACAGAATGTTGTGTCATATCTCAGATTTAATGGGAAAAGATCATTTTCATATTTCATAACTGATGTGTTGATCCCTGACATTATGTGTTGGCCTCCAGAGAACAGGAGTCCGCCCTCATCACTCAGTGCAGATGGCCAGTCAGAAATTAAGGGAGACATCAACTGTCTGCTGAAAGAACATGAATCAATATATTTTGACAAGGATCAAATGTGCTTCAGATGAACCTTTTGGCCTTCCCAAAACACCAGCCTGCCTTGTCAAACCTCTTTATTTCAGTTGGCCTACATGTAATCATCCCATGACTCATCAGATTCAATTTAATAGTTACACTGGTGGAAGAAGTGCTCAAATTAATTACTTAAGTACAAGTAGCATAGTATATTTTAAAAATACTCACATTTTAAGATTTTTGATGCATTTATGTGTTCATCACTTTAATGTTGCACTTGGTAAAAGTAGGGTTTATTTGAATTACTTGACATACCAGGTAGCTTAACCTATAACATAACATAATGTGTTTCAATACAAATATCAAGAAACTGCAAATTAATCTACTAAATTACTAGTAACTAAATAAGTAAAATAGATACATTATTTGCTTAGCACAGACTGGCGGAGAAAAAATATAAAGTATCATAATGTGAAAATACTCAGTTAGAGAACAAGTACCCTGATCTTTTACATAAGAACAGCCCTGGAGTAAATGTAGTTACATTACATCATATTAATAACAGTAGGCTACTGCATCACTCTCCTAATCCAGCATAATATCTGATAATAAACATGTATTTCAGCTCGTTTGCAATTCATGGTTTTCATTGAATCTTCTGTTGTCTGAACTACAGGCCCTGGGACTCTCAGTGACGTCACGCTCCCTGCTAATAGACTTGAGAAAACATTATTTCTTTCAATTACGCACACATATGTGTACATTTTTTTTTTTATGTGGGCAATTCAGCCCATAATGACTTGGGAATTCAGGTTAATATGTTGACATGGTTTAACAACAGCGGGTCATGTTGCACATCACGCATGGCTGCCTGCGCGTGCAGCAGCTGACAGGTCCTAATCAGCGCGGCCCCGAAGGCCCGGGGCCACGGGCTGTAATCACTGCAGTGTTACACAGCAGCGCGGCAAATTGAGACGTAATTAAAGTCAAAGTTGTAATAATTGTTTCAGCTAATTGGGCAGACAATGAAGTGCGTTATGGCGCGATTACATTATCATAACCTGAGACAGAGGTGGG